TATATATATATATATATATATATATATGCGTGTGTGTTTGTGTATGTGTGTTTATAATATTTATGATTTTTCTTGGACTATACAGTTGGATGTATCACGTAAAATCCCAATGAAATAGACTCAAGTTTGTGCTTGTAATAAGCAAATAATCGCATGATAAAATGAGCTCGACAATTCCCATTATGATGATGAATATTGTTTGAAAAACAATGCAGTTTACAGATTCCTTATAATCCATTTTATTTATGGTTTCTGTTGTGTGTGGTTTTAATTTCCCTTTTAATTATTGTTTGTGATTGTTTCATCTACTTATTTTGGGTATTTAAAATGTGTTCAGTGCAGAGTGCTCTGATCAAAATTGGTCTTTGAGAGGGCAAACTTGCATTATTATGCTAATATGAATACTTGAAAATGTTCTCAAAACGACAATATTATCGTTTATTGCGATAATTTCTGGAACGATTTATCATCCAGTACAATTTGTCACTGTGACAGGCCTGTGCAAGGCTTCGTTTTACATGTTGTCTCCTAGTGATATGAGACAAGTTAGCTAAATGACTTGTGTTATTCTTTCCTGTCCTGCTTGTCAGAGCAAACATGCATGTCCTTGTTGTCGCTAAGAAAAGAACAACCTGGCCCCATGTGCGCCTTCTCCGAGCTCAACCTAACTTTATTTCCCTGAAAAGCTCCAAGTCAAGTTCCTAATCTTCCCTAAATCCAATGTGCTGTTGGAACAAGTCTTCCCCCCGTTGCCACACGATAGCAGGGTTTGCAGGTCGGGCTGCTTGAAACAGTCCGAGCGTGATGCGGCTTCAATTAAAAACGTGAGCTAACGGCGCAAGCACGCAACGCCAGGCGAACCTGGAGTCAAAAACATTTGAGTGATTGCAGAGTGTTCCTTCAGCACGGAGTAAATCAGCGGCACATTTTGTTCGTAAACCTCACACGTCATCTGCAGGCAGTCTGTGTTCCTATGCCAGAGGCAGCTAAATGAGTAAATAGGCCAGAAGAGACCAAACAGAGAGCCAAATGAGACCCCTCCCATGTCCCCTTTACTATAATCATTTCCACATTTTCTCTTTTTTTTTTTTCTTTTTTCTTTTCCCTGTCTCCTCGCCTCATTGATGAAATGTACGCCATTGGCAAGTCAAGAGCAGGAAGAAAACAACAACCCGGCCTCCCCCTCTTCCACTAATTTCAGCTTCGGCTGCATTAGGCTAACGCTGCAGTCTGAGAGCTTTGCAGATGCCGCTTCTTCTCTGACAGACCTCTCTCCGGCTTTGTGCTTGAGTTGAGCCAGAGGAAACAAAAGCAGCAGAGATGACCGGAGGACGGCAGATGATCTAAAGGTCACCTCCATCAACGCCCCCCTCCGCTCCACTAGCCAATTATCCCTCATTAGAGAGACACGCAGACTCCCATCTCCTTTCACATCAGCCCAGATTATGTTTTATTCATTTCTTCCCCGGTCGATCCGCTAAATGCCACGGTGACTTCAGTTTTATGATAATCACTTAACACCTCTATTTAAAACAACTGAAATAGCCATCATTGCGATCAGTGTAAGTGCCCGTCAGTCAGGCCTGCGACTCTGCATACATTTTCTTTTTTTTCCCTTTTTTTTTAAAAGGATAAATAATACTTCATGTATTAAGCAGTCCCTCCAGGAAGTTGTGATCCAAATTCTTAATTCAGGAATAATTTGCACATTTTGCACGGTCTTCCAATTTTGGCCATGTTTCCGCAAATTTGACCAATCACCTTGACGTTTTCGGTATTTCCGTATTTGCTGACCAATCGCTGCAACGCGGCAAAATTCTGACCAGTCCACTCAGCCTCCCTTCTAATTTAACTTCCTGTTCTGCTATGTATCTTGACCTGCAAGATGAAACGGTAACATTTGCCTTTATTGTTTTTTTTGAGGAAAAACATTTTTGAAATGTTTGTATGATTTTTTTTCTATAGCCTACTGTATATACAGTTTGTGTTAACTTGATTGACCATTATACAATTCTTCTTTTGCATTTTTACAATTAATCAGATTATGATTTTATTTGTATTAAGGGTGCTAGTTCAAGAAAGTACCTGAAAATGTTGTTTGCACTTTAAATATTAAATATGTTATGTGTTTTTTTGGAAGGGTAATGTGCAGTAATTCAAATTTGTTTTGTTAGACAATGTTATGCGCTAAAATAAAGTTTAAGAAAATTGCAACTTTGACCACAACTTTCTGAAAAAGTCGCTGCAAAACCAGTAATTTTAGGCCACAACAATCACAAAAAAACATCGTAAGCGAACTATACTATATTGGAGACTGTTTTTTCTACCATCTCAACCAGAAGCCGGTTTAAGATTGCTTACGATATGTCACATTCGAGTCACAACTCTTGAACTTTTTTCAAAAACTTTAACACGCAATTGCGGAGGGAGAAGATATGTGATTTTTAAGTTATTTTTACAGTTAAGTATAAGTGAGAAGCGCAGTTTTCTCTTTGTTGAACCAGCTTTTGCTGTAATTACAGCTGTTAGAATGGACCAATCTACCCAAAGCTATTAGAGACACATCCTTAAAGACTAACACACATAAATATGCTTTAATCTAAACCATGCCTTTGTATCTCTCACTGTAGGCTTTAGGCCATTGCCCTGCTGGAAGGTGAACCAAACAGGTTTTCTTTAACATTTAGCTTCATCTTACTCTCTCCCAAGGTTTCCCACGTCATGACACTGCCACCACTATGCTGTAAGGTCAGATGTCTGGAGTGCAAGTATGGGGAATCTAGCTCCAGTCCATATCTTTATACTCTTTCCATTCCTGGTATCAATGTAAATGGGACAGAACTCGATTAACTTCACAGTTATGCACTACTTTAGTTGGTTGGGTCGCATAAAATTACACTAAAACATACTGAAATTAGTGGCTGTGTCGTGACAAAGTCAACAAAGAAGGTGCCTGGATGTGCTGTTTTCTTTCCAGCCGTGTGACTGTAATTTGTCAGAACACAAACACAGCAAACCCCAAGGCTGGCTGTTGCGACAGACCCCGACTGTGTCACTATCGGGTTCATCCGAAGAGATTTCCTCTCCCTCTGAGCGGCAAAAGCTCCAATTTCCCCGAAGGAGACACAGACAACCCTGAGCCCGGTCTCTGGTGCGTCTGGTCCGTAAGCCGACGGCATGTCGTGAAAAGCGGGGCAGACGGAGCGCCGTGTCTGCGCACATCTCCGCACGTCGCTTTGAGGCTCCCCTGATTTTAAGCGTTTTATCAAAGACAAGGATGTCTCCGTCCTGAATAATAATAACCGCGTTATTGAGCGAAACCCCCCCTTCTCTCCCTCTCAGACGTCAAACACTGTACGCCTTATTTCCCCGCACAAGCTAGCTGTCCGCACCGTCTGAAATAACGAAATGAACGGAGCCGTGTTAGCGCTTAAAAACTAAAGAATACAGCATTAGCTTGGTGACTATTGTTCAGTAAAAAATACTAATGTCAGTTCATATTACAGCCTGCCAGAGACATCAAACCAGAAAAGCCATAGCTCACCCCGTTTCATCTTATCCCCCCTCGTCCCTCTAATGTCATTCTGCCTTCATATGACAGTTTTGCTCCAAACACCAGCGGCAACTCACCCGCTAAACAGAGGTGTACATTAGTGCCTTTCGCCTCGGACCGCTTCACTCCAATTAACAAAGAAATTAGAGCCGTAATACTCCAAAAATAAATAGATATCGTCGCTATTTATCTCTTCATTGCGGCTCCGTCGTAGCGATTCCAGACTGAAGCTGCGCACGCAGCATCGTCAGCGGCTCCCCATCCCCTCCTCCTCGGTTCTGTCCTCCACAAAGAAGAGGAGAATAATGAAGGAAGGGCCTAAAGGACACGAGGACAGCGACAACCAATAAAAAAATAATTGCACAATTCTGTAACTCTTTGCTAACTTCAATATTTTTGTTGCTCTCCTTTCAAGCAAACTTTTCCTCCAGGCGTTTCCTCCCCCTATATGGTGTTAATTTCAACACTTGTGCATTTTTCATTTAAGTGGACAGTAAATATACCTTCAGCCTTTAAAACATAAGTAACTAACAAAATACTGGCCTCATTACCTTCTACAATTAAACTGGGGGTTTCAACAGAAAACATTTCCTACAAAAAAAACTAAACTAAACACAAAAACTATTTTAACAAAAACAAACTAACAAAAAAAAAAAAAAAAAAAAAAAAAAAAACGCCAGAAAAAACCCCAAAAAAAATTTTAGAAAAAAAAAAAAAAACAAAAAAAAAAAAACC